TTCTGTGTTTGTGCACAACTCTGAAAACATCCTCAGTAAATGAAGATACATCCTGTCTGCACATCTGCACGTATGCGAGATGACACTTCTCAAGACACTGGTTCTGCGGGCGACAGCCCACAGGCCGATGATGCGCTGAAGCTTTTGCATCAATCTTCACAAAAGCCTGAGGCCGTCTTGGTATTTCAGATGACTGCAGTTAGAAGGTTGGGAATACGCCACGATCAACCATAGTGATACACATTTACACACTTCATTGTTTTACTTACTGTTTTAGTAATACAGTTCATCTGCTCAGAACTGTCATTCTGCTGTATGACTGCCAAAAGCATTCTGACTGCAGTGTTTATGCTCAAAAAGACTTGGTTATTATGATATAGCCTATTTTGTTGTGTAAAGTGACCTTTGAAATCATCTGTCAAGTTTTTATGTATTTATCAAATAAATTTCCCTGGAAAAATGTAAGAAAAGGTCAGGGAGATGGCTCAGTAGAATAAGCGCTTCCCTGGCAAGCACAAGGGCCTGAGTTTGATCCCCGGTTCCACAAAAAAAAATAAATAAAAAAAAAAGTAAGAAAAATGTTTTGTGAGACAAGGTCTTATAAGCAGTTCAGGATGGCTTTGAACTCAGGGGAACCCTCCTGACTCGGCTTCCCAAGGGCTGGGATTACAGGCAGGTATCACTTCATCTGGCAATAGATGGTTTTTAAAGACATTTTAAAAATTATTTTTTCCAGAATTATATTTTTCAGATTTTGAGCTTTTGTGATTTTAGACTTTAGAGGTTTTGATCTTTTAGAATTTCAACATTTAGGATATGAGTTTTGAACTATATTTCTCGGGACTTTATCTCAAATGCCTAAAAAAAGGACATCTGTGGGAAATGAATGAAATTCTGTTAGTGTGCTGATCAGTTATATATTAATGCTCATTCCCTGGTTTTGATTACTATTTTATGGTTATTTAGGATATTAATATTAGGGGAATGTGGGTGAAGAGGACATAAGAATTCCTTGTACTATTCTTGATTTTTTTTTTTTTTTTTTGTATTATAGAAAAGGGTCTAGAGGGTGTTTAGGGTCTCACTACTAGATTGGACTCATAGTGATTCACCTGTTTACAGCCTCCTAAGAGCTGGGATTACAGGCACACACCACTGCACCCAGTCTCAATTGCTGTCTCAGAGCAACCCGGGGTGGGGCTGGCACAGCAGGCCTGGGGATTGAAACCCAGCCCCTGCGCCTGCTTGCAGGCGCTTAATCCACTGAGCTATTTGGCCAGCCCCTGGTTTGGTTTTTGAGACAGGGTCTCACTATGTAGTTCCAGCTGGCCTTGAACTCACAGTGATCCTGCTGCCTCAGCTTCCCTAGCGCTGGGATTACCACTGTGTGCCTCTATACCTGGCGCTTTGTATTAGTTTTGCAACTTTTCTTTTAGTCTAAAGTTATTTCAGGCTGCTGCACCCTGCACCCTGAGTGGCCAGAAGCCAGAGGATGAGCCCGGCGCAGACTCCAACGCAAGTTCAAGTTCTCGTGGGTTGCAGCAGCAGCAGCAGCAGCAGCAGCAGCAGCAGCAGCAGCAGCAGCAGCAGCAGCAGCAGCAGCAGCAGCAGCAGCAGCAGCAGCAGCTCACAGGGAAGAGAATGAAAAGGGAAAACTGTCCTTTCTGCAGCTGATAGCATAATTGCCTTTTAATGCTAATGTTTCTGGAAGAACCTTGAATGCCCAGGGACTTTCCAACCCTGCTGCTCATAATCTTCAGCCCTCTTCTGATCACTTTGGAACTAGGATTGCCAGGTAGAAGTTAGTTTACTGATAAGATGTGACTGCTACTGGCCTACCTCAGCGACCTGGATATACTGGAGCACATGTCCCCAGGAGTATGTGTATCCATCTGATACCACTCCAGAGTAGAGCTCTATTCTGGTGTCAAACGTTGACAACGTGAGGACTGCCTTTTTTTTTTTGGTGGTACCAGGGATCTAACTCAGGAAGGAGTGACTTTCTAATTAAAACCATTGCTAACCGGGGCAAGGTATAGCTTTTAAACTTCTACTGAAACAGTACATTTTAAAATGTCTCTTGGAAACACAAAGTCCCTGCATTGACTTTAAGATAGTTTCTATTGCCTTTGAGAATAAATGAAAATATATTGGAAGAAAATAAATAAATAAAATAATTTCAAAATAAAAGCCCACCTATTATGGTTTGTGTCTAGTTGTTCCCCCAGAGCCTCATGCAGTTCACGGGGTGGCTTCTGGACTTTGTGATTGATTGCTGCACCTGCCCTGGAGCAGGTAATTTGCATTACACTGTAAGGAGGGGAGAGAGGCTGTCTGGCTGGCTGCCTGAGCTGCGGCCACTCCCTCTGCTCTCTGCTCTTTGCTGCATCCTGAGCTGTTGCCTCTGCCCTGGGCCACTCTGCCTTGGAGCCAGCTGAGTGTGGACTGAAACCTCCAGTAACAGTGAGCTAACTAAACCTTTCCTTCCTTCTTTTTGAGTGTCGGGTATTTGTCCCAGCAACAAGAGGAGAGTAACTGAGACACCACCAGCTTCAAAAGGCTGTGTACTGTATAGTTTTATTTATATAACATCCTCACAAAAGACAAACTGTATTTCCTGTCCTGACAGAAAATGGACTGACTGTGCCAGGGTGTGGAGGGAGGAGCGAACTCCAGAGGAGGGAGGGTGGGGGCGCCTTGTAGGGTGAGGGACGTTCTCTATATCAGGCTTGCCTGGGGGCAGTGTGACCGCCTGTGCTCATCAAAACCTGTGGGACTGTCACTAAAGAAGGTGTGTTTTTGTGGTATGTTGAATTGTGCCTGAACAAAAAAATAATAATAATTTAAATGTAAAGCATGCACACATCCAAGCACATTTGCAGACAGTGTGTGCAAAATAAATACAACAGAATGACACCCCATGGATCTGCGAGAGGATGTGGAGTAGGGTAGAAATATAGAAGGGAACAGACAAATAACACAAAATAAATGAGGGGCTTCACAGCAAAGTGACACTGCATGATGCCATGAACTGTGGCGTGAATAATTCAATCCTCTGCACTTGGGGCAGGAAAAGAAGATGGAGGTTGTGAGAGAGGGAGTAAAGAAGAAGGAGAGGAGCTGTGTGGAGTTTATTTAATTGAAGAAGACTACAAGAAACTCAGAACCGGGGATATAGCCCAGGAGAATAAGCGCTTGCCTGGTAAGCGCAAGGGCCTGAGTTCAATCCCCGGTTCTGGGAAAAAAAAAAAAAAAGAAAGAAGAAGACTATAAGAAACTAAACATTCATCCAAGGTAAAGTGTAGTGCCTCCAAACAGCAGCATCCTAAGCAGAAAAGAAGTTTATTTATTAATATGGGATCACTAACAAATAGGTTGATTTTGATGAATCTTACTTATAACACATGATCTATTTTTAATCAGGGGAGGGAAGGTATAAAACTGATGGCTCAGAAAGATAGTGTTCTTTATTTTGCCTGTATTTGGACAAAGCATTTTTGGAAAGAGACACGAGAGGGCTGGGGAGATAGCTCAGGAGTGTAAGCACCTGACTGGTACGCGCAAGGTCCTGGGTTCAATCCCAGGTACTGAAAAAAAAAAAGATAAAAGAAAAAATGATGGGGCTGGTGAGATAGCTCAGTGGTCTAAAGCACCTACTTAGAACAAGCTTAGCAAAAGCACCTGGATCGCTGTTCAATCCCCCAGCACCACATGCCAGCCAGCCCCGCCCCCTGGTGGGCTGAGCTGGCCACACACACACACACACACACACACACACACACAAATAAATAAATAAAATTTTTTTTAAAAAAAGAAAGAAAGAAAAAATGAAAGAGACTCCAGAAGCTGGCATCATCCTTTAGCAGAGAAGCTGGAGCCAGAGCAGAGGGAGAAGGGGTTTCTCTCTGGGCACTGTTGGTACTTCTGACTACTGGACCATGCAAATGCTTTGCCTGCCTCAGAATCATTTAGAATTCAGGACTGGCAGACACAGGCTTCACCACCTATGAGCTCACCATAACAGCCAAGCACAGGTGATTTTCAGCATCCCTGAAGGAAGCCGGGGCTTAGCTGGGAGTAGAGGTTCCAGTGGCAAGTCCAGGGCTACTGAGAGAAGCAGACTTGCCATCATTGCCCTTCTGGGGGCCCAGAACCTACAGCAACATGGGCTGTGGCCCCTCTGGACCGTCAGGTCAGCCACTCCAAAGGGAGGATCTGGAACTTGAGCTCCTGTTTCTGAGCTCAGAGCCTGCCAACCAGACCTCTAGGGGTCTCCACAGCTCTGGAAATCAGTCCCTTGCTGCCTGGAGTCCAAGGGCCCTTCATTCTGAAAGGACAGTGTGTGACAATGGGGACATTTGGACATCTGCAGGATGCACAGGTAAGGAGTTAGAGGCCAAGTGGTCCCATTCTGTGTGCACACCTCCTATCAATCCTGCTAAGTGGCAGCCAGCCTCCTCCCAGGGACAGGACTTCCTTACTTTCTGCATAGGACCATCCTCTGACAGCTCGAAGTGTGGTCCTTACTTAGGCAGAGGAAATCTGCCTCCCCTCAACTTGTTCCCATCAGTCCCTATTCTGCCCAAGGCAGCTACATGAGACAGTAGGACTGTGGGGTAGTACATCTCGAAGTCAGGGCATGAGAGTGTGGACCTGGACACTTAGCAGCCATGTAACTAAAGACCAGTTCCTTCAACCACTCTGAGCACATCCTCTCATCCACAAAATGAGGATAATAATAAAGCATGCTTTGTGGACTGCTAGGAGAATTAATTAAGATTATGCATGAAGCATATGTAACATAATACACAAAGAAAATGATTAACTCATTGTATCTATTATTTCCAGTCGGATCCCCTCAGCCAGCAGACCGTCTGGAGAGTCTGAGACAACGGTATCTTTGCCAAGAGGCCAGCCCAGCAATGATTTCTGTCTTCTGTTTCAGGCTTAGCTGACAGCACAAGAGGGGGCCAGAGGGTACTCCTGCTACCCACACTCACCTGTGATGAGGTTGTCCACGAGGGTGGTAGGCATGCAGAAGATACCCACCAGCAGGTCACTGACAGCCAGGTTGAGGATGAACATGTTGGTGACAGTGCGCATGTGCCGGTTCTTAAGCACAATGAAGCAGACCAGGGCATTGCCCACCATGCAGAGCAGGAAGATGAGCAGGTAGGCCACGATGAACATGGCCGCCACCGGTGAGGAGTGCTGGTAGTAGGAGGAGAAGGTGAGGTTTACAGCCAGGGCAGCCTCCATGTTACTCTCATTCTGACTTGGGGGCCAGCTGCCATTGGGAGACTGGGGGGGCTCCCCTAGGACCAAAAGAGCATAGAAATCAGGACTCTAGGCAAAAAGTCATGGTCAACTCCTCACCAGGAGTGAGATCCTTCAGTGTGGCTCATCTTGGTACCCCCAGCCACGTGCTTGACTTGATGGCAATGGATCCATTCATACCTTCTAAGTCACCACTGCACCCCAACCGCTCACCCATCTTGCCCAAGGCCCATTCCCATCAGTACTCCCCCAACCCACCCGTGCTCCATCCTCTTGGGCTTTGCTCAGGGCCACAGATGGAGTCACCACTACGGCCTACACCCCTGGGGTTCCCTTGCCCTCTGGCTTGTGACTGGGCTTAGCCAATGGGATGCACTAAAAGAGAGAGAAAGGGAGAAGAGAGAAAAGGCCCAGGCATTTGCCTCGTAACTCCCTCCCTGCCTGGCCCAATTCCGCCAGAAGATGCCCCCCATCCTTGATGGGCACAGCTTGATCCTTGCTATGGTTTCAATGTATCTTCCACCAGTTCACCTGCTCCAATCCTAATTCCCAAAAATCCTGTAATCTATTTAAAAGTGGGGTGGGTCTTTGGGAGATAATCAGATTAGGTCCTAAATGTGGCGCCCCCGTGAAGGCATTAGTGTCTTTATGAGAAGAGGCTGTGATGCCGCACACTTGCTCCACCTCCCCGCACGGCACCCTCACCACGTCAAAGGTGGTGTGGAGGCTCTATCAGCTCCCAACACCACAAGCTAAATAAGCCACTGTTTTTTACAGCTGACCCAATCTTGGGTATTTTGTTACAGCAACAGAAAATGGACTAAGACGCTCTTGTTCCACGACTCTACCTCTTGCCCGATGATTCCTGCAAGGTTCCCTCTCCTTGTAGCAACAGATCTGCAGGTGGGCGGGGCGGCCTGAGGTCCCTTATTCCATAATGAGCTTGCAGCAAGGTGGCCCTGCCCCGCGTGTTTCTGCCTCAGGACCAGGCTGGGACATGTGTTTCCCCAGCTGTGTTTCAAAGCAAGCGGCTCGGTGTCCAGCTACAGCTCTTCTGGGAAGTCATTAGTCCTGGTGACTCACAATGTTGTCTCACACGCTCTCCTCCGCCTTCCTCTGGGACTGAATGCGGCCCATTCCAGGGGATGGGGAGTCTTTGGGGAACCTTTCTGCCACACCCAGAGCTCAGCCACTGGCCGGGAGGCCCACTGGAGGCTTGAGACCTGGGGGCCGGAGGCCCCGGGGGTAGCAGGGCCACCAATAAACGGGAGCCATCAGAACGTCAGAAGCCAGCAGGGGCCGAGGAGGCACTGGGGGCGGGGGTGGGGGCTGGGGGGGCTGGCGGGTTGGGAAGCTCTTGCGCCTGGTAAGACAGGATGATACTCCTGATAGGGCTTTTCAAGGGCATCCAGTGGCAACCGTTGTTACAATATAGAAGATAGCAACTGTGGGCAGGAGAGACTATTTATTATAGTGAGCCTATCCAGGAGCGTCGCATAACAAACTACGACTAGAGAGAGAAGTATAACGAATTTCCTTGTATAATTTTCCAACCTTCAACAACGATCAGCTGAAGGCCAACCTTGTTTCAGCCATACTCTTATTCTTTTTGGGTCATTCTGAAGCAAATACCAGACACTGTTCCTTTTCATCTGCAAATATTTCAGCTTGTGTCTCTAAAATATGTCTCTAATTTTTTAAAAGCCACGATCACACCATTATTGAGTCTAACAAAATTAACCATTAAGTTACATTACATTATGATCAAATATTCAGCATCCTCCACTCAAAATTCCCTGATGCTTTCCTAATTTTTTTAAAATACAGGATCTGACAAGATCCCTACCACCCATCCCATCGCTATATGGCAGACCGCCCCAGGCCTTCGTGGTGTGCACCTGGCTTGGCCTCGGGCTGATTCTTCAGCAGGTTTCTTTCCTGCAGCTGTAGCTGTGTGAGGCTTGGCTGGGGCGGTAAGGTTCGAGACAACCTCCCCTCTGGAGCTGGTGGTTGGTGCTGGCTATTGGCACGGGGTGCACTCTCCACTCTCTACTGGCCTCGGCTTCTCAGAGGCTCTTTAGAGAATGGAGCTCTTGGGGTGGCAAGAACAGATGAAGAAGCTGGCATTTTCACATCATTATTGCCTCATCCCATTGGCCAAAGCAGCCCAGATTAAGCCAGTGGAGACACAGTGTCCACCTCTTGCTGGGAGGAGCACCCACATTACACTGCAGGGGGGTGTGGACCTAGCAGTGTGACTCACTAAGTTCTAGCCTTATAAAATCTGCCATCAAGCCCGTACTGCGCTGGGTTGCTGCGACTCCTGAGACTCTAGGTATACAGGTTCCCCCTCTGCGTCTTTTCCCCTCTGCGATTTGTCATAAAGACGGCATCATTTATCTGTAAGTTTCCTACAGATTTTTTTTTTTTTGATTGCTCCCTTGTGATGCCATTTTATACTCTGCTTTCTGTGGCCTGCACTTCCTATAATTAGTGGTTGGAGGGAAAGGCTTGCTCGGCCGCGCCTCGGGGGACAGCGCTCTGATCCACCATCAAGTTCCCCATCAGCTTTTCACTTACTATTTTAGCACCCACTCAGGAGCAGTATGCAGAGCCTTAATTGCATTTTAAATACAATCCACATTCTTTACCAAGGCTTCACCCACGCTGGGTGGTCTGCTTCCTGTGGACATCTCCCAGCCCTCTGCAGAACCTCTCGGGCCCTACATACTCCTGCTTTTTCTAACCCCAGGCCTTGACTCTTCCCCACCTTTGGTTCTCAGCTTAAACATTGTCTTCCAGGGAAGCCCCACCTGATTATTTATTTATTTGATACCAAAAATGAAACTCAAGACTTTGCACTGCTGGCCAGATGCTGTGTCACAGAGCTCTGTTCCCAGCCCCAGCTGATTATGTAAAGTACCTTACTCATGTTCTTCAATCTGTTCCTACTTTGTTTTTAGGATTATTGTGCCACCCATATCTTTAAAAATCATCTCCTGGAGAGCAAGGATGTTCCCTTTCTTGTTCGTGGCAGTGCCTGCACCTACTAAATGTTTAAACTGTTGATCAATGAGCAATGAATAAATATTTATAGGAAGCAGAAGGGGAAGTGTGGATCCTGGTACCAGCAGACAGGGTGCTGCTCAAAGCAGGCAGTGCAGTGCTGAAGGTGCCTTTAGGCCCCTGGAGGAAGAGACGAGGACAGGTGCCACTTACCCCAGGCCTGGCACAGGGATTGTGGTGCTGAGCCCTAAGTGGATCCTGAGCCATGCCCATTGCTGCAGGCAGCCGAGTTAGACAGAAATATTATAGGCAGTCAGACAGGGCCAGGCCCCCAAGAAGACAAGATGGAAGACAAGGTGACTTTGCAACTTGGAAGAGACACACTCCCATGTGGGCCACATCTCAAGACCAAGACAAAAAAAAAGAGGAAGCACAGCTGCATACTTCCCTAGGGATGGGCATTAGGGATTGATATCCTAAATAGTCTCAGTCAACTTGAAAGAGCCCAAATAAGTCACTAGCCCAATCTCCAACAGGAAGAGACCCTGTTCCGTATTCGTGCCCGCTTGCTACATGACTCGCTTTCCCATTTGATACTGGATTTAATCAATTTCACCTGAGCAATGGTGCTTGTAATCTCATTGGTTGACCATAGTTTTGTCCCACCTCATGGCCAACTAAGCAAGTTCCCATGTCTTCTCCACTATCTTAGACCCGCCTCACCACATGGTTTTCCTCTACAAAAGTCCCTGCAAGCGACAACTTCCTGGGGGGAACTACCCACTCGGGCCCCCCCTCTTGTCCCTCTCTCAGGACAGGAGCTTTCTTTCAATAAATATATTCTGCTCATAACCTCCGTTCTCTCCTAAAATTCATTCTTCAGTTTTAGAGAACACGAACTCATGCAGGTCAGGTCCAGAGTTCGTTTTTCTCTGTGTCATTTGGAGGTTCCCTATATCGTTTGGAGATCACCTGCGCAAGACCAGTTTTTCTCCCTGTATCACCATGATGGGGAAACCTGTGGGTGTGCAGGGGCAGAGGAAGCTGCCAGGACCTTGCAGGCTCCAGCCTACCTGCTTTCTCAACTCCCTTCCCTTGGCCTTCAAGTGAAGCCATTTTCTAGAATCTGCCCCTGGAGAGTGTCTGAGAGGGACACTGCCCATCTCTAGTGCCTCTCCCAAGCCAACATGCTGGACCCAGCCAGCTTCTGTCACTGAGTGCTGGTCCTTTCTCCCGAGGAAGAATTTCTTCCCGTACCAGGCATTTTCCTACACAGGAGGGCTGCTAGCCTCCAAGCAGAAGACCTCAGAACGCCTTGGGCTTGTCCTTTCTGGGATCTGCCAGGTGCCCTTTTGGTTGCACCCTGTGAAATTTTTAACCATTAAACCAAATTAACCTCCTGGAGGCCTTGGGACATAATGAGACTGACTCCAGAGCAGCTGGTGATCTCAGAGGCTGAGCTCTGGACCACTGAGAGGCAACACAGGGACAAGGCACAGGCACAGTAGTGCTCAGAGTGCAGTTCACACCAGCAGAATCAGCATCACCTGCAACTTAGGAGAAGCAGAAATTCTCAGGTCTCATCCCTGACCTAGGGAGTCAGAAATCCAGGGGCTGTGGTTTAAAGAGCAGGGCCAAGGAGTCGGAGATGCAGTACTGCTCAGCATTCGGAAGACTCTGGATCCTCTCTCGCATGTCTCTTAACAAACAAAAGAAAATAAAGGGGCCGGGGAGATGACTCAGTGGAATAAGCGCTTCCCTGGCAAGTTCAAGGGCCTGAGTTCAATCCCCGGTTCCGAAAAAAAAAAAAAAAAAAAAAAAAGTGTTTTTCAAAGGCATCCTGCCCTGGCAGTGAGTACCCACTCTGGGAAGTCCTACCTCCCCTCCTGCCTCGGTCCTCAGTATGCCATGTCTCACCTTTAAAACAGAACTGCAAGCATTGCCTGGCTGTAACATAGGGTGACCCATGTCACCTCCCTGGAAACCAGATTCACTATTGCTGAGATGAAGATAAACTAATTCCTACCAAAGA